CTTAAATGCAGTGTTATTCGACTGCGTTCCAGTATACTCGAGTTGTTTCTACTTATGCTCTTAAAATTTGTGATCATTTGAACGAGAATTGTTCATGTTTTTGAGTTAAGAAATGATATCATTTTTCTTAAATACTCTCTCTCTCTCTCTCTATATATATATATATATATATATATATATATATATAAACGATGCCTGGTCAAAAATTATGGGGACTGTTGCTATGATGAAGGAGCTAAAGTAGGCAAAGTGAAGACGCTTGGCACAGAATAACCTTACACTATGTCGCGCATACTCTCTAAGTTATAATGCTGTTGCTCACTTCCGTTGTTTATAGAAGTGCTTGGAAGAAGACTGTATAAAGTGTGGTCGTCTCATCACACCACAGAAATTCAATCAGTGTCCATGACTTCTGCAGCAGATTTTAGCTCACCACAGCATTTCGTAAAACCACCATATCCCCCAGATATCGTCATATGTGACATTTTTATCAACGAAAAATCATATCAAACATGAAAGAAACTATATCTCAAGATGGCGAAGAAATCCGAAGAAATGGCTGCTGCCATCAATGGTAACGATGCTGGAGACTACTTCGAAGTAGATTAAAAGCCGAATTGATACATGTTGTAGTTTTCTTTTTCTAGCATCGGTCCAGATATTTTTTCTCAGACCTCGTATTCACACACACACACACACGCATATGTGTGTGCGTGTGTGTGTGTGTGTGTGTGTGTGAATTATTAGGCGAATTTGAATAATCATAATTAAGTAATTCATCGAGTCTAGAAGAATCCTCAACAGAATGCAGAAACACTGGACGGCCGTTTGTGAAGAGCAGGCGCTATATCAAATCTAGATTTTAACTATTCGTCATGATAACCCGCTTGCGTCATATCGTAACGGTCCGGGTTCAATTCTCGGTAGGGGATGCGCACTACTGATGAGTCCCAAAATAGGACGAAACGGCCACCGAGTGCTTTCCGAATTACTTAATGATGATTAAGTATGGAAAGAAACTTTATGTTGTGCGTGTGATGGGATGTTCTGTATTAATCATTTAGGGTCCTTAAAATGCAATGAAACACTATACGTACATCTATACGTCCAGCAGCTGCAACCTGTCCGTACAATTTTGCCCCAAATCCCCCTCCGCTCATCAGTGAGAAAAAAAGAGTTACTCTCCTGGGAACCGGGTTGGTCTGTTCTGCAAAGCTCGTCATATTCAGCTGATTTTACATCAACTGATTATAATCTTTTTTCGGTCGATACAAAACTCTTTGATGAAGAAAGCGTTCTCTAATTGAATTCAGATTCAAGTGTTCGCCGGAAACTTTTTTTCTTTGCATCAAACCTTGTATAATTATACCCAAAAGTTATCGAAGACCTACCTGATAAGCGAAAACAAGCCACTGGAAATAATGGTGAATATGTATAATGTAATAAAATATAATTTCATTTTATAAACCAAAACGGGAATTATTTATGACGCAACCCAATAGAATCGTTCCTAAACTGAATCTCTTCAAAACTGCACTCACACGCCGTTTCCCAAAATGTGTTATCAATTTAGACTCGGAAGCATCCATAGGCATTCCATTCTAATCTTTTCCCATTGACGCGTGGATGAAGCTGGGTAGGGGAATATGACGTGGGTATGTGTATGAGGTTGGATTGGGAGTGAGGGAACACCGACGTCTTTATTTTCTTCCCCTCCCATTTACCAGTTCCATAAGTGGTTTAGAAAGAGCACTTCAGACAGTGTAAAGTGATTATTGGGTCTTGCCAATTGCTTGTCACGCGTCACAACTCACAAAGATACATGCTCGCACTCACATGCACACACACACCCTCACAGACAAATCCACACACACACTCATATATATATATATATATATATATATATATATATATATATATATATATATATATATATATACGGCCGAAAGTCAAATGAGCAGCTGGAGTCTGAGAACGCACTCATGTATAATAAAGTAAAACACACTCAGATGATAGAAAGTATGGAGTACTTAAAAGATTGAAGATTGTCGTAAGCATTTTGATTGAAAGAGCTTTTTATTTAGAAATAAAAAGAAAGTAGAAAGATTTAAGTGAACATGCTCAGAAACGCATCGAATTTCCTATCATTTCTTTCAGACAAAAAAAATTAAATAATGGAAGTGACCCAACATAGTAAGGATAAATCTTTAACATGCTAAATACAAACAGTAACAGTGTCGTCAAACGTTTCAATATTATTTGTTATATGCCGTGACCTTTCAGTACGTGGTCGACCATTGCTCTCCACAGCCTTTCGCTCAGTAACGCTTGATAATTTACTATCTCTCCTCTTTCATCCATTAACACAAATCATTAAGTTATTCGCCTTTTACTCTCTTCCTTTAACCCTGTAAGTCTTAACTTTTCCGAACCGTCTTTTCTCATAATGCATCCCAGACATTTCAACTGTCTCTTTCTGATTTTACATATGAATGCCCAAATAATCATTTTCTTTAAAACCTCCTCATTGCCTGTATGCTGAACCCATGATATTTTCAAGATGCGTTTGGACCAGGGGTCACCAAACTTTTTTTCTCAGAGGACCAGGTAACTGAGAAAATGATGACCGTAGCCGGTTGACATTTTGTTCAATACAATACACTGAATACACAAGAAATAATGAAAATAAAGATATATATATATATATATATATATATATATATATATATATATATAAAAAAAAGTTATCAAAAAAGGCGACATTAGCAATAAAATCACGCCAAGTGTGCATATATCAAAATCTCACAAACTAAGCAGTAAAAGAAAAAGAGATTTGTGAAACTAGCGTTTATCTTTTAAGATATAATCAATATTTGCATTTGAATTGCTGCATCCAACTAAGAGGTTTGTTTTCAAATGTTTATCAGTCAACCTCGTTCGATGTGTTGAATTTACATACTTCATTTTTGAATATGTTTGTCTACAGACATAAATTCTTCCAAACACTGATGCCGCTTATATTACTGTCAGATGCAAAATTAAGATTGGCCAAAGTTTGGCATATTTACTTACATTTATTTTAATTTGTTCTACAAGTTTAACTACAATCTATTTATAATTCCGTATAAATAATTATATTTTAGTTTATTTGTAAGACAGAATCACGGCAGGCTGGATGAACAGACATCGCGAGCCGGATCCGTATTTTGGTAATGCCTGGTTCTTTAGTAAGGAAGCTGCCCAGGTTTCATTGCTGTTTAAGAGTATATACTACGTCTAGGTGTCATGACTCTTTAGGATGTTGACAATCACGGCTCTCCACAATTTCCTGTCCTATGTCGCCCTTATTAAAATCGTTGGAAGAAAGGTGCGAACGAAAAATATGTATTTAAATACATCAAAACAAATTGACTGAGATCCTTGATAAAATCTCATAAATTCTGACGCTTATTATATGAGGGTAATATTTCTGACCTTGTTCGGAAAATAAAAAAAAGCATTCCCATTACTATAGATACACACACACACATTATATATATATATTAGGACAATAGTTACTACTAATGTTAGACAAGTAGATTTTCTAGATGTCACCCTAGATCTTGCTAACAATATTTTCCAACCATATGTGAAGGTTAATTCCAACCCATTATACGTGCATCCTAATTCCAACCATCCCCCTTCGGTTATCAAACATATACCCTCTTCCATTGAATTTAGAATTAGCGCTAACTCTTATAATAAGGAGGTTTTCAATAAACATAGTGATTTTTTTATAATTCTGCACTAAAAATAGTGGATACAAAATACCACTATTCAATATAAAAAACCTGTTAATTGCAACCATAATAGGAAAAGAAGATCTAGAAAGATTATTTGGTTCACTCCCTTTCAATGTTATGGTCAAAACTAAGTTAGGGCGTATATTTATAAACCTAATCAAAAACATTTCCCAACCCTGAAACTAACCCACTTAGTAAAATATTTAATCCTAATACCCTTAAATTAAGCTATAGTTGTGCTGATAACCTAGAGCAGATAATTAAAAAACATAACAACATAGTCTTTAACAAGTATAGGAGTTCAAAAGGCTTGACTAATCAACAGGTTACTAACTGTAATACTCATTATAAGAATACAAATAACAAATTATGTAATTGTAGGAATCCGAATAATTGTCCACTACAAAATAACTGTGGGATTACTTCTGTAGTCTATCTTGGTACTGTTTCAACAATTGAAAATCCAAATATAAAGAAGTTTTACATTGGTTCTACTATGAAAACATTCAAGGAACGCTGGCGGGGGCATATGCAATCCTTCAATCACAGTGAATATAGGTACATGACTTCATTATCCAAGTATTTTTGGAATCTAAAAGATAAGAACAAAAACACCTACGATTAAATGGAGTTTGGTTAAGAAAGCTCGTACATGTAACTCCCCTATATACCCCATGTTACCTATGCCTTAATGAAAATTTGAAATTATTAGATTTAAAAATAAGGCTGATCTCTTAAATCAAAGATATGAACTTACAGTAAATTGTAAACACCGTTATAAATTTAACTTAGTGTAGGGGTCGTATACTTTAAATGATAATGATATGTCGCTGTATTTTTAATAGATTAGTATTTTTATTGCATGATGGTCATACTTACGATATAAGTGTGTATTGTTTACCTGCATAGTGTTATTAGTGTTGGTGTAAATGTGTATATATTTATTTTTGTGTTGGTTAGGGTATTTGCACTGAGGAATGTGTAGGTTGGTGTATAAATGTATTTATGTTTTTTTTTTTATGTGTGGGTGTATGTGTGGGGTGTGTATGTATGTATATATATGTGAGTGTGTGTGTATATATATATATATTATGTGGGAAGGTAAAGTAGATTATAAGAGAAAAGGTTAATAATTGTTGCTGTATATGTGTATGTGTGTGCCTATATATGTATGTGTGTATGGTTGTGTGTATATGTATGTATTTGTGTGTGTGTGTG